TAGTTAAAGTCAGGTTAAACAAATATCATCTACAGTGTTCATTTTCACGTGCGCAAAAGTGTGCGCATGTGTGCGGATCCAATCAAAATCAAAATTTTAAATAAAGCAATTTGATTGGATTCGCACACGTGCGCACACTTTGCGCACGTGAAAAATAAACACTGATCATCTATTAGTAAAATTTCACACATTTTTAACTAAACTGCAAAAGATGCTTTCCTAATTAAATTTAGAGCCACGTATTCTTGTTTTTTGTTTTGTAAAAAAGTGGTTTCGTTTTGATTTTATGTTAAACCTTGAAATTCAACTGGTCAAATTACAGAGATGGAACAATTTTTTGTGGGTGCGATAAGAGGTTTTATGTTTATATCTTTTTAATATGTATACAGTCAATCTAAATTAGTTGAGACCGGACTTTATTAATATGCATTTAGAAAACAATATGAAAAATAGAATTTATAGAGACCAAACATATAATTAGACCCGAAGTTAATGTTGCACTTAGAGAGGGTTGATTGTACATAAATTTGATCTATATATCGAAATACCGTTTCTGCCACCATTAATCTACCCGACAGTTTACCCGCGGGTTATTCATGAGTTAACCTCTAGTTACGGTACCTTTAATAGTATCTATTTTTAAAAAAAAAGAAAAGAAAAAACCAATTGTTATCAAAGATAATTTAATAATTTTGGATAATTTAAAGTATAATTGTTTAAAATATCATGCTTAATCTGGTAAGTAAATATTGTTTCTTAATTTGTTATATCAAGTTTAAAGAGATTTTCATTATACACCAATCTTACTCTATAACGAATAAAATCTCCAATTTGGCATAGAAAGGAGCAACTATACTTATTAAATTAAATAAAATAATGTATTTAACTTTTATTAAGTTTTACCTTTAGCTTTCATTTACGGGTTTTTACAATTTAGTTTCGTTGGTTCGTCCATTTTTCCAGTTTCACCATTCCGCCTTACTAGGTTCAACTTAGGCCATCGCAAAACTTCTAGGCTTCGCCTAATAATTATAATAAAAATAAAATAAATAATGATAAAACATTTGTAAAAAAACTTCATATTAATGTAGCACTGCCACAAATACCGACAAGATCCAATGGCACCTGCACAAGCAATTACAGAGCCCTAATTGTCGGTTGGCTTGAGTTTAAACAAACATATACAAGAATTTTGTTTGTGTTGTTCAAGTTGGAGGCACATTATTAAGTTGGTATGACAAAAATGTTTACCAATTTTTCTGCCAGTTACCTTCTCATTCTTCTTAATCAAACTTTAGTATTGAATTAAAAGACTATTAAGTCATATGTTATTATATTGTAACGTTTAACATGGAACAAGGAACAGTTTACGACGCAAAGATTGACATTATGACAGAAACTCATCAACATAAAATAACAACATTGATTTGTTCACCTAAATTAAAGCATATTGCAACTATGAGTAAAATGGATAAAATTATTGTTATATGGCATAATGAAACAGAATTAACAAAATTAGAACCAAGTTCGAGATTTTTTGCTCGTGAAATTACCAATGCACAAGAATATCATCATGGTCATGAACTAATAGAGTTGTCATATGATGGTTTAATCGTGGTAAAGCACGAGGGTATGTTGTACTAAACATTATCCTGTCATTAGAACATCGAGCTTTTTTTTAAAGTTATATTTCTTAAAAATAAAACATGTAAATAATTTCATTTCCGTAAAAAGCTTGATATTATATCACTAATTTATTTTTTAATTATTCGTAATTTTGTATTATTAATACGAATGAATTCTTTTTCTTTAAGGCACTTTGACCATGTTTGATACAAAAGAAAGTCGACAAATCAAGATGTGGACAATAACTAAATACAAAAAAATTCGGTGTTCCTTTCTTTATAAAGGGGATTTTGTGCTTGTGCTTATTCATCCGGATGATAAGAAAGTCCTCTTTAAATTTAAAATTTATCTATATTCTGTCATTAATAATAATAACAATAAACGGTTACAGTGCAAAACTATATTTACTTTCGATCAACATAATTATTATAATTTAAATTGCGCCATATTTAGAAATGGGAGGCTGTTAATTAGTGGTAATAAAATTATTGCTGGCAACTTTTGCCTTCTGTGGAATGCAGAGACCAAAGATTCTGAGTTTGAAATATCTAAAGAAGTTGACCTACCTAATTTTCTTTATGGACATTCTGAAACGCAATATTCTAATCTTAATAGCGATAATATATTATTTACAATATTGCATCATGGCTTGAAGATTTATTCAGCTAAAACAGGCATTAGAATCACAGATCTTGGAGTCGTAAACAATGAAGACATCAAGGAAGATAATAAAGGGTTCAATATTAATTTTGTAAACCAAGGCAAACATTTATTAATTTCGTATTTCCCGAAAATAACTAGATTTTCAGAACTTTCACAAATAGTAATTCGACTAATAAATCCGTATTCGCCTAAATTGGACAAATTTTTAGACATTTCTATAGGTGCAAATTTCAGCTCCGAAAATATCAAATTTTTTCCTCAGAGAATATATAACGACAGAGTTATTGGAATTGCCTACAATAAAGTTCAGATCCATAAAATTTTTCAAGATGATTTTTTTAAAAACTTGCAAAATAAGGATCAGAACGAAATTCATTTTCTCTGCACAACGCATTTTCTCTGCATAACAGATGAAATATTAAAAGAAATAGAAAAGGGCTTAAATGTGCTTGATCGTGATCTTAGAGAGAAAAAAGAGCTAAAGAATATAAAAATACTAAAGGGTCATCAAATTTATTGGCATTATGATGGTAAAAAATTATTGGAATTTAGAAGTAATACAGAAGAACTTGTCATAGAACCAACAATACTTGAAGAAGCATCTTATAGAGTTAAACGATGATTTAATCATGATGAATGATAAATTTTCAATTATTGTAACCCCCAACGTTGAAAATGGAAAATTACGGATGTGTTGCTTTTTTGACAATAAAAATCTGAAGAACGAAATACCAAAAAGCTTATTTTCTGAAAAATATTTTAGTGATATCTTTTACAATTACTATAAAAATTACGAATTCTTTGACAAATATTCATTGAAAGACTTAATTGAAGATCACATCAAGGATACATCTTTTTTTTTTATTATATGCTGAAGCTCTTTTAAAAGCGGCGATCAAGAAAAAGAGGGGCGAAGTTGTTGATATGGTTTTTGAAGAGTGTATGAGATTAATCAAAGATACTCCAGATAACATTAACATACTCAAAATAATCACTTCTCTTTTGCCCGAACTTTATGCGAATTATCCAAATTATGTTAATAGATTTTTGTTGCAAACTTCCTTATTATTGAGTCCTAATCAACTTTATAAATCCGTGCAAGCAACCAAAAATCATCATCTTTCTCCATGTACTCCAGAATTTCATATGTTCAAACATACCTCAATTTCGATGACATACTTTTACTTGTATTTTAATTGTAAGTCTTTATATCGGAAAATATATACTTTTTTTTTCATGATTCTCGCACGCAAACAGATGCCGTTAGATTGGTCATACCTTTGCCAAAATTTTCTACCTACGATCCAAAATACTCATTTTGGAAAGAAATATTAGGAAAACCATCGTCAAATGGTTTCATAAAAATGCAAATTATTGAACTGTATTCTAATTGGAATGGCGAAGCTTTACTTACTTTTAAGTGGGAAATGTTTGGAAGATTATATTATTGTTTTATTTGGTTCATTCATACATTTCTCCTCGTAATATTCTCTCTTGGTGTTACAGAAACTAAAGGGATCATTTCAACTAATGGTCGAAATATTTGTCTGTGGTTATCAATTATTATTGGATGTTTAATATTATTGTTTATAGAAATACGTCAATTCATTTGGAATTGGAAAGATTATATAGCTAGTCCATGGAACTTTTTTGGTAAGATGCATATAAATTCATTGATTACATTTTAATTCCAAAGTTGAATTTTAACATAATGCATTTATAGATCTTTGTTCCTTACTTTTTCCCATTGCGACTTCCATTTATTGGTTATCAATCGATCCTCCACCATTATGGGCACCCGCACTCTCATGCTTATTTCTTTATTTGAAATTCTTGTTCTTCTTACGAGCTTTTGAATATTATAATGTTGGTCGTTATCTCGCAATCATGGCTGGAGTTGTTAGTAAAGTGTTTACATACTTGTTAATTTTGGGAATTATCATACTCGGGTTTGCACATGCTTTCTATATATTACTTCAACCATCAAGCGATGGCAACAACACAATCGATGTTAACACAGATCTATACTCTCACTTTGAAACCTCGCTTCTAGCTGTTTATTTATTAATGATTGGTAAGCATTTTAGATTTTGCGTTGTTATCGATCATCGTCGATTTAAAAAATTGATGGTTGGTAAAGGGCTTATTAATACACTACAACTTATCTTGTCAATATTTGCCAACTGTTTATATAATGTTATATTTTTATGATCAGGACTTCAATAAAATTTATTAAACACATATTTTATCTTTGTTTTATAGGGGATGATAATTCGCTTTCTACTTGGGATTATCGAGATAATCCTATTTTAGTAGTTTTGATGGTTTCTTTTTCTATTTTTACTGTTCTCTTTATGTTGAATTTATTTATTGGGTTATTAAGTAATGAGATTCAAAACCATGATAATAAAGCCGCATTTCTATTACAAAAGGCTCAGGTTACTAAAAAAAAATTTTTTTTTTTGTCTATAGATAATTATTTAATACTTTCTATTTAACATTTGCAGATCTTGGCAGAAATAGAATTATTCTGTCTTCTTCCACAGCAACGAAGATGGAAACATTGGTTCCCGGATTCCATGTAAGTTGATTTTAATGTAATTACGAATTTCATCAATAATTTCATTAAATTTATTTCAAATTTATAGTTATTATCTAGCTTATACCAATAAAGTTCACAATAAAATTATAGAAATGAGGAATGACTTACCAGTTGATCAACCTATTTTGAGTGATGAGCTTATAAAATTGGTTGGAATAAGAGATTGAAAAGAAATATGCTTTAAATTTGTACAAAAATATAGATAGAAGGCTTTTAGAATTATATGAAATGGAAAAAAAATTTTATATATGTAGTGAAGAAGAATTAGATTATATGGTATAACAAGAACTATATTTGTATTATGTATTATTGTTTAATATTTGTTATTTTATTTAGCTAATTTAGTACTTTAAATATAAAACTCTAAGCCTTTTTTACCCAAACATATTCTTAAATTGTGAAATTTACTATGATTTATATAAATTTTCAATTTTTTTTATACCTTTTAAACTTATTTTACTTGATATTATACAAACAATATATAAACTTATCTCATTAATCTATATAGCTACTTCTTTTACTATATATTTTTTTTTACATTTTAATAAACAACTATAAAACCCCAAACATTTTTTGATATAGTTTATAATTGAAACTTTTAACAAAAATTCTCTAAATTTAGAAAACAAAAAAAACAGTTTTTTTGTAATTATCTTAACAACTAGTGGTTCACTTTAAATGAACTTTTTAAAATAAAAGCTTTTAATAAGAAGCATTTAATAAAAAAAAGTTTATTCAATTCTGATTACTAAATCTTAAAATATTTAAGAAAAAGTAAATTTTTAATTTTTAACAAATTAGATTAAATTGGCCAAGATCTAGTTATAATTTATATGAAAAATATCTAGAGTTTTACAACTATATGCAAGTATTTAAATTTTATATTGTAGTTTAAAATCTTAATCTCAACTAATATATAGTTAAACCTTTTTACAGTTATATTTTTGGTATCAAAAAATTATATCTATATAGAGATCAAATTTTTTATATTGTATATAAGTTTGTTTTAAAAATTAGTATATTTATAAAAAAAGTATAACTGTATAAAAAGTGCTATATAAAGAGCAGACTGTATTTATAATTATTTCTATTATCTATATCTTTACTTTTTTTTTTTTTTTAAGCAGTCTTGCCTTTATTTATTTGAACTACTATATAACTAAAATACATGTATATATAATCTTTATAGTGTAATGTTCTAATCTAATAAAAACTCACCAAGCACTTTGCCCAGTGCGACCTGCTAAAACAACAATTCACCTCTCTCGGGACCCTTAACTTTCTAAGGATTTTGTACCATAACGATACCCCCTTGGTCACTGGTTGGCTGTTGTCTGCCATGTCAAGAATGCTTAAACATTGAATTTAATTCTAACTAGTGAAGACTATGCTGGTTTGTTACTTCATGAGACCTATTCTTCGATTAGATTTTCTTTCGCCCTGGCTGCTTCAAGTTTTGTATCTTTTAACTTTGTTTTTGATTTCTTGGCTTTTGTTCTTCCTTCACCAGCCTGTGGGTCTATGTTTTCTTTATTGAGATCATCTCTTTTATTCACCTTTTTTTTCCCCTTCTTCTCTCTTTTATCTTTCTTGATTATTTCTCTATTCTTTTCCCACTCTGCTACCAATTATAAAATATTTATTTAAAAACATTTTTTATTTAAAACTTAATAATTTTTTTTACAAAAAAAAAAAACAGAAATAACAAAATTTATAAAAAACCATCCTTGTGGCCTAATTAAAATGCTTCATGCAAAATTTTACTAATATAAACTTTGCCCTAACCCTAACCCTAACTTAACCACAAACTACAATGTTGAATTCTCAGTAATAATTACAGAAAGAAACAACTTTTGTAGGTGCATTACCTATCCTAACCCAATCCAAACTACAATATCAGATTCCTAGTAAAAAGAACTAAAGAAAGCATCGTCGAAAAAACAATGAAGAGACCACTAAAAAATGACGAGAGAGTGCTAAAAGAAAAACAAGAAAAGCACTGAAAAAGCAATGAAAAAGTGGCAAAAGAAGCACTGAAAAAGTGACAAAAAAGTGAGAAAGTGATGAAAGAAAAACATTGATCTAAAAAAAAAATAACATGAAAACCAAAAGAAAAAACAACAAAAAACTGATGAAAAAAAACAAAACAACGAAAAAAAAAAATAACAATGAAAAAATTTGATGAAAAAAAACAACAAAAAAAAAACAACAAAAAAAAACGCACTAAAAAAACAATGTATGTACCTATTTATAGTAGTTGATCGACAAATCACATAATAGTGAAATTTTTTAGATTGGTTATGCTAGGGTCTTACAACAATATAGTGCTCAGTGCTATGAACAATCATTTTATTTAAAAAAATTCAAATTAGAGAATGATCGCAATGCTAATTTGGGCCAAATATGCTGTTACACTAATCTAATCTATTCTCTAGAATTTCAAAAAGATGCGACCTTGTGATTTTTGTGATAATCGAGAAAATTTCCTAGTGCTAGATTCTAAATTATCTATTATTCTATATTTTTGATCAGCTGTATTTATATTTATTCATAATCAGTAAAACTTTTAAATATAAAAAATCTTCAATTCACACTCGACATTGTGATCTGCAGAAATTTCATAATAAATTTTAAGCACTAAACAAAACACTGATAATTTAACTATAAAGTTGGGATAATAGTATTTGCTTATAGCAGTTTGCAAAAGGTGTGATCTCTACAGATCATAATGCTATGTAAAATTACAAATTTTTTGATTTTTGGAGAATTTTAAAGATTTCGAATAAAATATAGATATTATTGATTAAAAATTATGATCAATAGAAAATTAAAATTTCAAAAATTTTTCTATTTTATTATCATGAAATCATAGGGTTACACCTTTTTGCAAACCTGTCATAATGCCAACCCAGTTACCTAGTGTGTTCATCACATATAATCTGGAAATCAGAAATTTAGAATTAAAGATTTTTTTATATTCAGGATTATCAAATTTCTAATTGTAAACTTTTTTTTTAAAA